CCCCAAAACCCCAAAACCCCAAAACCCCTATAAAGGAAGTATGTATAGAATTTTAATAATTTAGATAAATGGAAGACAGCCAAATCATAAAAGATACAGATATTGGTCAGACAAGTTCTAACAATCAGATAGAAGAGTCAAGAGCTCTTTTAGAGTTAGAAGAAGGCAATTCTGGGTTTTCTCATAGAAGCAACAACGCTCAGAATGTTTTGTGACAACGTGAGTTAGCACTGCTTCAATTAGAACAGATACTGACTAAGTATGCTACAGCTGACTCTCAGAAGTTTTCTAAGAGGATGGGCCAACTCAAGAAGGCATTACTCTCAATCAAGGTGAGTGAGGTATGATTCAACATACAACGAACTAAAGGTTCTCCCAAATATAATTGTTTGACATGCTAAATAAATCCTTTAAGTTTTCTAGACTTCCCAATGAGTCATCATAAAGGCCTCTGCTTATTGCCTTTTAGCTATTCTAACTAATATACAGCTAAAAGACAACTTTCAGAACTCCCTTAATTGCTATTTACCGAGTTTATTTAAAATATTTGTTTGCCCAAGTAGAACAATTTTTATCTGTCCAAAATTTTTACAATTGGTTCAATCTTTCAGTATATGAATTTAACATGAAACAGGAAGTTAATGCTACCGAACCGAGCACATTTATTAGGCAGAGGCAGATTGCTCCAGAAAACTGTGAACTTATTCGAGCTAAAGCGGACGAACTCTTGAAGAAATTCTCAGACATGCTTAGCTGTAATCCTGAAGAGCAGAAAGAGTTTGGGGCAAAAGGTATTGAGGTAAGATTAGGCATAGTCCGATACGCTCTTTAGTACTTCAGAGAATTTGAAACATCTTGTATCCAGAGGTGCTAGCTTTATTAATAAAAGAAGTTTCACATTTATATAGATGAATCAGACTCTGGATAATGCTATACAGAGAAGAAAATCATCTGGATATGAGCCAAGGAATAAAATGAAGTTGCTAGACCATAACACCTGAGATGTAGAAGCTCAGATTTATAGTAAAGAGAACACCCTCAGGACTAAAATTTTGAAATATGTGATCAAAACACTATCAAATAGAAGATGAATGTATTTGTCAAATCAGAAGATCAATTACACAATCTGGATCAGAAGTCTAAGGGATTTGAATTTGTTCAAGAAAATGAAATTCTTCAAGATGCCTGACCTATCTTCTGTCTCTATATTTAGTTGCCCTTCAAATAATAAATATGTTTACCATTTCTTGGAAAGCTGATTACCACGAAAGTGTGAAAATTTGTATCTGAAAATGAAATCTTTGACTAATGCTAACAGATATCTTACTCTACTAGTTGCAGTCAGTCAAAGAGCTCAAAGAAGCATAAGCTTCTCAAGATTCAAATAAAATTACAAGCAAAGGATCTCTTCAGAAACTTCTAGCTGCAAACAGGCAAAAGAAAAGTGTTGGGTTTGAGGAATGCTCAATTTCTTGACCAACAATGCCTGACCTAAGAACATGTCTGAAGAGCACTACCATTACTAACCTGAGCTTCTTCCTCTCAGGACAAGAGGAATATAGTGACTGGAGCAACAATCTTAGAGAAATCAATAATTTATTGGAAGCTCTTTCTCAATCAGACTTGATGAAAACCCTCAGGAGTATAAACTTGCATGAATTAGGACTACCAAAACAGGAGGTTGACAAACTTTTAAGCTCTTTAGGCTTTGGTCGTGTTACCAATGTTGAAATAATGTAGCCTGTAGAGCTCTAAACTTCTTAACTCACTTTAGTTGAATCAATATTCAATTTGATATATCCGGAGGTATTTATTAGAACATTTTTATCTTTAACAATATCTATATCAATAATATTTACTTGAAAAGGGGTTTTGGGGTTTTGGGGTTTTGGGGTTTTGGGG